ACACACACACATTCGTTTGAAGGTTGGTTGAATCCGTACATGTAGAATCTATCAATACAGATATCAATTGTAAATATTATCATGTCTTAGATTTACTTCATGAAAATCTAGTGGGAAAGATGGGATGAAACAAGAGTAACTGTTCATCAATAAATGTTGATCTAGATGATGGCTCTATGATTTTATACTGTATTCAGTATGTTGGAATTCTCTGTACTAAAGGGTGTCAGATATATGACTGACAAAAATAGAAGATAGAGATAGTGGGAAAGAGAGAAAGAAAATATTTCTTATATAATTCATTAACATGGGTTTTATCCCTATGATTGTCCAACTGTGAATTCCTGTCCAGATTTTAAACAAGAGGCTCATGACTTTTTGTTTCTGGAATGCAGGCTACAGAACTGACCATAAACTAGGATCAAGTGGCCCCAGAATATTTCTCATTCACCTAGAAACTTTTTTCTCTTTTCTACTTTTCAACTGGAAACTTTGCTCAGTTGATTAGTGCCAGGGCATTTACTTATCTAGGGTTGCAAAGACCAATCTCTCTTCATAGTGGCCTGAAATATGAAAAAAAGGAAGTGACAAATAACTAATAAAACCCATAAACTAGAGAGTTGAGGTTCTGATTTTGTACTTACAAGGATTCTCACAATTATACGAATATTAAGTTTAAATGTCAACTAAATAAAAATCATTAAGATTGGGTAACTTGCCTGGCAGAGCAGGTATACGCTCAAGTTCATCTGTTGCCAAAGCCCACATCTATTCAAAGATTTGACAATGCCCTCTGTGGAGTTAAGTGGAAGAGTCCATCCAACATCCACCCCACAGGCACAAAACTTGAAATGTGGGTCCTGGTGCTGGGGCCTATAGGAATGGTACAAGACCCACCCCAGAAAAAAAAAAAAAAAGATAAAGAATTTGCTTTGTTTTATTGCACATCTGTGTGTGTGTGTTCGGAATACTGGAATATTGAAGATCAAACATAGGACCTTGTGTATGCTCTATCGCTAGGCCACCCCCAACACATTTGTACATTTACTGTTTATACTCACAAAAATACTAACTAGGCCTCCTTTCCCATCTGCCCCCCTTTTGCCCTATTTGTATGACATCATGATAATGGAGCTCTCCCGCAAAGTGAAAGAGTCATTTCTCCTCATGCAAAAAAAATATTCCACCCTTTGACAAATATCAGGAAGGATCTGATGTGTAATTTATTGTTGAAAGTGGAAGCCTTAATGTTTAAAAAGAGAGAACTGGGTAACATTGCAAAAAGAAACTAAATATTTCTTGTGGCCCATGGCTCTTAAGAGTAAATTTCAAGCTGGGAAGGTGGCTCAGTGGTAGAGCGCTTGCCTTACATGCTCAAGGCCCTGGGTTCGATTCCTCAGCACCACATAAGCAAAAAGAAAAAAAAAAGCCGGAAGTGGCGCTGTGGCTCAAGTGGTAGAGCACTAGCCTTGAGCTGAAGAGCTGAGGGACAGTGCCCAGGCCCAGAGTTCAGGCCCCACGACCGGACCCAAAAAAAAAAAAAAAAGAGTAAATTTCAAGCACAGTCTTAGAGTTTGCACCTGTTTAATAACTCAGTTACTGGGACTCTCTGGTTAAACTGTGCTCATAGGCCAGTGGACCAAAAGGAAAACACTGTTTAAATGAGATAAATGAGGCTGACTCTTTTGAAATGTCTTTGAAAAGAAGTGGAAATCAAGATATGTAAAAATGCCCAGGTTTTACCTACCTATCCCCAGCCCACCTCAATCTCTGCAGGATTCTTCCAAAGTCTACAGCAACCACATCTACAAATAAATTTTCCAGACGAGAAAAATGTGGGTTAGAACAAAGTATAAAGCACTCCTCTTTACACTGAGACATTGATTGGTACAGAGGGACCTGGGATTTACTTTTGCATAGTAACGTCACCAGATTCCCAGTCCCTAAATTATGTCTTCTCTTTGCCCCAAGAAAGATGTCAGCAAAGCCAAAAAAATTGCCCTGGAGCTCTCAACATTAGCCCTTTCTCTATGCCTGGGGCTGTTCAGTTCTAAACCTCTACATGCTACAGCCCTACCCAGACATGCTGTTCTCTAGGAATGCTATTTTAAATCTACCTTCTCTTCAGATAAAGAAGTCAGCAGCATGGTTTCAAGTCTAGAAACACTGATTCCTAGGTTGTTGGATGAGTGTTATTATCAGGATGATTCAGTGGTCCTCTGTATAGGAAGCAGCCTGCTTTACTAGTATTCAGGACAAGACATCAATATTCCCCCTGGGGAGTTCATTCCAGTATACTAAGCCACCTTAGGTACTTTATGAATTAAATTCTTTGCTTCCTAGACTAGGAACTGAGCAGTGAAGAACTATCAAATTATGATATTCAGTTTCCAGAGTTAGTTAGTAAGTTAGTTAGTTAGTTTCCAGAGTTAGTAAGTTAGTTTTGGTGCTGAAGACACATGCATTAGCTCTTTTCAAAATCATTTTATGTAGTCCACAAGATCATGGAACTGTGAATTTACCTTTTGCCATACTTTAGTCACTTATCTCTAAAGAAAGAAAAACAAAATGGCAAAGTAATGGATCTTACCTTACAAATATTTGGTCAGGCTCTGTCTATAGGAATTCATTATTAACCTGATAAACAACATATTCCCCAAAGACTAAGTATTAGGAAGCAGAAATCTCCAAGTATTTGAAAGACATTTACATACAAACAAAATAATGCATATGATTGTTTTCCAGTGTCTCACCTCCTAAGCTACCCACAAGCTTTGGGAAGGGAGTATCAGATAGACATGCAGAGATTAGATGCCCTTCTTCTTCTGTTCCTATTTTCTCTTAAGTCTGTAAAAGCTAAAAATAATAACAAAACAGAGCCAATAGGAAAGGGCCATTTATTTCTACACTTAACTGAAGGCAAATACAGCATACCCTTATCACACTGCACATAAATATGGCAAGGATGGAGCATATAGCCTTGAAGAAAAGCAACAAAACCTCAACCCTCCTTGCGCCTATATTTCAGTTCCGGAGGTCTTTTTACACTTCTCAAATGGTCACTTCCACTACTCTATCTTGAGGGGGGCGCTTCCTTTCCAGAGGAAGAAAGAATGCAAGCAGTTCCTCACCTGCCCCTTCACCTGCTTCGTTCCACTGCCTAGGGCTCTGAGTCACTGGGAAAACAGAAAGTTTCCCTGCTAAGAATTCTCTTACCTCCACCACCACCCAATTGACCCACACCTTTTCCAAATCCAAACTTTTAGACGGTGGCCATCTTGATGGGTTGACAAGTAAGTTGGTCCTTGACCCACCAGAGATTAAAATGAGGTCTGTGGCAGCTGATGGGGAGAAGGATGGGGAGGGGAGGAGGCAAAGGGGATAGAGATGAGGCAAACTGCCTGACAGCAACCAATATTTCTTGGCATGGAGTCATCCAGTGGTGTTTTAGAGCCTCACCCCTCCTGGAACTTATCCCCTCCATAAAATAGGCATGCACTCTCCTGTCCTGCCCACCCAGAGTTCATACAAGGATAACATTTATTAAGAATGTCTTTTATCCCTGGCCAAATCGATTCCTCTGCCTGGCTAATTTCTTGTCCCAACCCACTACTCTGGCCTGGTTCAGACAGTCATCAATTCCTAGTCTGGAGCTAAGCAAAACCTCCATAGGACAGAAAAGAAGCTCTCCCCAACCTTTTCACCTTCCTCCTATTTTAACTCACGAAATAAACAGTCTAGCCTTCAAACTAGATCATTCCTCCAAGCACGAAGTAACAGTCTTCTGAGAGCCTGTCATTTTGTCCACCCTATTCTGAATTCCTTTAAAACTCCTTAAATAAAGATAAGACAGGGTTGTGTACACTTTCAACACAAATGGTGGAAAGAAATAAAATAAACATCAAAGATGTGCAGCCCAGTCACTGTTTGCAACAAAGCAGGGGGCAAAAAAAAGGAGGAAACTAGAGTGGTAGGCAACTGGTTTATATGTGCACTCTTACCCAGGCCAGGGCGCCCTTTCCCTCGAGTATTGGCGCCAAGTCTCCTGAGTACTAAGGTGGTACTACTGAACCACACAGGAAAAACCCTAAAGGAAGAGGGGTGGGGAGAAATGACTGCAACTGCGTCTGGCTCTTGGCCCCAGTCAAGACACGCCTTCCTGGTCGTTCCTGTTGACTCTCAGAACCGGAATACCGTGGCTGAGACTTCAGAGTTCCGGAGGAATACAAGTGGAGGCAGAACCTGCCACCCCACGCCAGACACAGCTGTCCAGAGGAGTCTCCAGCTAGGTAAAGACAAAAAATAAAAAAAGTGAAACTCGGAATTCTATTACCAAACAAGCATCAAGGACATCCAAAAAGGGGAGCTCCCAGTTTCAAGCTTTAAAGAAGGAATAAGGCACAGATAATCCTTACAAGGAAATCATAGGAAGAAAACAGCACTTGGCTGTTGAGCATCCACGTTGACAAGGGAAAGAAGCAAACGCACACCTCTCGCAGTTTAAGAAGGCCTCGAGCTTGAGCTTTCTCCACACTCTGAGCCCTTTCAGGTAACTCCCTAGGGGTATATCATGGGGTGTCTACCTACCGGGCGCACTTGCCCAACAGCCTATGAGAATCCAGGGCTCAGAAACCTCACTCTGGCTACCGAAAGCCGGACACTCGTACCTGAGCCGAGAAGTGGACGGGCGGGGCAGCCACACATGCGCACACTCTCACACTCACAGACACTCGCACACTCCACCCGCGCGCACGCTCCCCATTGGTGAGAGAAGAGGGTGGGGCCATTCAGACCCAAAACAAACAACCTGGGCTGAGCGAGCCCGTGGCCGCGCAGCCGCGTGGTCTCCGCCCGGTGCGCGCCCGTGAGGGAGCCTCGGCTATACCTTGGCCACCTCGTTCTCCCACCCCCTGGAGGTCTTTGCCCAGGCCCCGCCCCGTGGGCCGCCGCCGGGTTATATTGGGCCAGGCTGAAGGTGGAGGCGAGATAGCTGCGGCTGGCCAGCGCGGACATGCTGTCCCGGAGGCCGGGGGCGGGAACGCGGCTGCGGGCGCAGCAGCCTCGAGGACTCGGCTCTACCAGCGCTCGAGGCTGAAGGTTCTTGCTCCTCTCCAAAGGTGGCGTACACACCATCCCGCATCTTCTCCCTGCCCTGAGGACGCCTTCCAGAGAAGAACCTTTTCCAGGACTTAAGGATACGCAGGCTTCTTCCAGCAAGAATTCATCAGCCCGACCCGCCCCGGCTCAAAGGGAGAACCGCAGCCCTCACGCATTCACTCCAAAGTCTGTAATCCTCGGGCTAAAGACAGCACCCACCCGATTACTTCTCCGCCCTTCTTAGTTTACCCAACACTCACAACCCCTCCCAAGGTAAATTCCGCGGAGGACTCTACGAAAAGAGAGACCAAGGAGAGAGAAGTCTTGGGCGGCAGGCCTGGGCTCCCGTTGCGTGACCGCCACTTCCGACCCGGCACTGGCTCCCCGAGACTGCACGAAGGAAAGGGTACTGTGCCGAGCGGAGATCGGGTGCGCGGCATGAAGTTGGAGGTGTTCGTGCCCCGCGCGACCCACGGGGACAAGCCGGGCAGTGACCTGGAGGGCGCCGGCGGCAGCGACGCTCCCTCCCCGCTATCGGTGACAGGCGACGACTCCCTGGGCTCAGACGGGGACTGTGCAGCCAACAGCCCGGCGAACGGTGACGCCGGGGATCCAGCGAGCAGTAGCTGCGAGCCGAGCGCCAGCGGCGGGCCAGGCGCTCAGGACGACGGCCCCCCGGATTCGGAGGGACGAACCGAAGTCAGCGCGGCGGGACGGGGCTGTGGGGACGCAGGGGGCGGTGAGGGCGCGCGCAGCAAGCCGTACACCAGGCGGCCCAAGCCCCCGTACTCGTACATTGCACTCATCGCCATGGCCATCCGCGACTCGGCGGGCGGGCGCCTGACACTAGCCGAGATCAACGAGTACCTCATGGGCAAATTCCCCTTTTTCCGCGGCAGCTACACGGGCTGGCGCAACTCGGTGCGCCACAACCTCTCTCTCAACGACTGCTTCGTCAAGGTGTTGCGCGACCCCTCTCGGCCCTGGGGCAAGGACAATTACTGGATGCTTAACCCTAACAGCGAGTACACCTTCGCCGACGGGGTATTTCGTCGCCGCCGCAAGCGCCTCAGCCACCGGGCAGCGGTCCCCACTCCCGGGCTGAGGCCGGAGGAGGCCCCGGCTGGTCCCGCCGCGCCCCAGACGTCCGCGCCCGTCGTCTCGGCTTCTCCGCGCGCACACTCGCCGGTCCGCCAGGAGGAGCGAGTTAGCCCCGCTGGCAAGTTCTCCAGCTCCTTCGCCATCGACAGCATCCTCAGCAAGCCCTTCCGCAGCCGCCGCGACTTGGACGCAGACCACGGAGTTCAGGTCTTACAGCTGCCCTGGGGCGCCGCACCGTGCGCGCCGCTGCCGGCATACCCCGCACTCCTCCCCGCTGCGCCTGGAAGAGCCCTATTCCCGCTGTGTGCATACGGCGGGGCCGATCCTGCGCTTCTGGGTGCGCGGGGGACCGAGGTGCAGCCCGCGCCGCCGCCGCCCGCACCGCATCTTCTACTCGCGCCCCTCTCAATCGCTGCCCCAGCCAAGCAGTTCCGCGGTCCCGCAGCCGCGCCCGGCGCGCACCTGTACTGCCCCCTGCGGCTGCCCGCCACCCTGCACGCGGCCTCGGCTTGCAGCCCGGGTCCGCACCTGCCCTACCCAGAGGAGAGGCTTCTGGCGTGAGTCCAGCGCTGAACCCAACAGGGTGGGCGCCTGGGCGCCGCGGTGGGGGCAGGGAACGAAGGCTGGAGGACTGTGCACTTTTAATAGAGAGAAAAAGTTTTTAAAAACACAAAACTTTCCATCAAACGTGCCTTAAAGCTAAGCGTTTTGATAGCGTGTTTTAACTTAATCCAGAATATTTTCCTTTGTCATTTATAACTTTACAGAGACCAAAGCAGTTCTTCTTTTCATTCCTTGGCCAACTCTGTCCTCTCCTTCATAAAGACTTTTCTGCCTCCCTTCTTCCAAACTGCCTATATTCCAACCTTTTTTGTTGCAGCATCTACTGATTAATCTCTCCCCTCCCCTCCCCAAAAGAAACACATCAGGGAAACATTCTATTCGATAAATGATATGACTACTGTTTGGGGTTGAATGACCCTGCTCTTGTACGTATGTGGCATTCACTAATAGACTGTGAGAAGTGTCAGTCTTCGGTTATCTTTGTTAAAGACCAATGCTTCACTGTGCCATAAGAGGGGGGGACGTTGTTGGACTTTGTAATTAAATTATTTATATATTTTTGAAACCTGGATTGAAAATGTTGCAGGCAACGGCTACAGCTTTATTAGTGGTTCTTTGACTATGGTCTCCTTGGGCCATGCAATTTCTTTAAAGGAAGAGTTAACATGTTTGTGGCGTGCCAGGACCACTGCCACATGAAAATAAGTGTGATTTTTATTTTTAATATTATTTTGTGTACATAGTCATGTATAAATTTTATGAAACCCAGGCATAGTGCTTATTTTTTTTTATAAAATTTGCAGTTGATTTATATGCTTTGTAGTGACAGGTTGGAAGTACAGAAACTTTTACACCACTCCCAAAATTACCCCAAATATTGGGAAGCAGCTTTCAGGTTTCTTTACCGAACAAGCCATACAAATGTCCAGAATGGGCCTTTCACAGACAAAATTTCTTAAACAAGAACCCAATTGCCTCTTTAAGTCCTCACTGAAGAGTAACCACAGCAAGTAAGTGCTCATGACTCTCCAAGAATTCTTTAGTAGGCAGGTTGAGGTACTAACAAGCTTATAGTTAAGTAGATATTTTCAAGTAAATGATTCTTATTTGGGTTCAAAGAGCTGGAACTTGATCTTGGCATAAAACTGTGCTAACCACCAAAAATGTCTTCAGGCAGTTTCCACAGCGACATGAATGTCAGTGTTTTTGTCTAAACAAAACCACTCAGCTTTTTAGGAGTGCAAAAGTTCATTTGGGTGTGACCCAATCAGCATTTTGTCTTCTTCATTGCTAGAGGTGGACACCTGCTTCCTAGGACAATTCCCAGCAGTTTATTAATTGCAAAGTTCTAAAAAGTAATGCAAATGGTGAGAAATTTAGACAGGCAACCAAGACCTTCTCCCCTCTCCCCCTACCATCCTTAAGTAAAGCCCATCTTATGATGTGAAGATTGTCTAGTATCTACATCCAATGAGATCAGAAAATTGAATGGAGCTTACACAAGGAGGTTCCTGTTTGGGTCAGGAATGGAAAAAGAAAGCCCATGCCAAAAACTAGCAAGTAACTAGTAGGGAATGACTTGGGTTTTTCTTATTTAGTCGTCATAAAGAGTGATAATAACAGGGTTGAATTATGACAGAAGGTAAACATATGTACCCTCAAGGCTGACAATTAGACAAGAAGATAAAACTGAAACTGATCAGCTGGGGGAAGGGACACCGAGTTTATTTGGTAGAGATTACTAGGTTCAACATTTGCTTTCCTTGTAGAAACTACACGAGGAAATCTAGAGGGAGCAACTGAAGGCAGCCAGCATCTCTCCAACTGTGTGCCTCACTCCTTAAGAGTGCTGCCTACCTTTGCCTCCTTGTTGTAAAGCCCTGTTTTCATTTCCACATTGATACATGAACAATCTGATTTCTGTCTGGCTGTGTAAGTGTTTTGCCTTTTACTTACTAAAATTGCTGCTAGTTCATTTATGATAAACGTAGAAACAACAATGAGAAAAAGAGAAAGGTGAGTTTTAAAATTAACATTTGTTTTCATCTCCCCTAAAAAATAAAAATATTTCCTTTGTCATGAACACCCCAGAGTCCAGAAAACTGAAATCCTTGTTCTGGTTCTGGTTCTGTCTTTGAAGCAACTGCTAGGGAATTGTCAGTCTCATGAGCCTTTGGCCCCAGTTAAGAGTTCCACTACCACTTCCAACCAGGACTCAAAGGACAGTCACTATCCGTGGGCTGGAGGGGTCAGGCAGGGTTCTGGGACTGGGTTGCTTTCTCCACCCCTCCTTCATTCTCCCAGACCTGGAATTTCTGTTTCTCCATGCTAGCCAGAGAAGAAAGGAAGCTTAACAACATAGCTCCCATTTCTTCAAGTACTGCAGAAAATTAGCAAGTTCAGGAGATTCCAGAACACTGCAGGAAACATCAGTCGTAATCAAGACAAGTCTTAGGAGTCTAGTCCGCTGCTGTCCCGATCTTGGCCCAGGCAGTGTGGGCCTTGCTCTCTCAGCTCACCAAAACCAGCACCTTCCAGCTCCAGCTCCTGGGAGAAAATGCGTTTCTTCACCAGCCTGCCGCCGAGGGCGGAGGGCGGAGGAGCTTTAAGGCCTTGAGGATGCAGCGGCTTTGCTCCTAAGACTCCCTCAGCCCATCCTCCCGGCCATGCCTTGCCCTTGTCTTTCCCAAAGCCCACAGCCCCAGTCCAGAGCGCCTGGCCAATGGGGCGGCTGTCCAGCTTTGCAAACACCACATTGCAAAGATACCCCAAACTGACTCTGAGGTTCCGGAAGAGGGGGATGCTGGACTGCACAGTAGGGGTGTGAGGTCTGTTTGATTTGGGAAACGCCATTTGACACTTGTCTGGTCTGTCTGCAGCCTAGGGCTGCTAGCAAAGGCTCAATAAGTTGGTTTTGAATGACCTCACCCAATTGTCTCTACCCCCTGTAGGCTGGCAAAGAACTGAGGGTGGACAGAGGAAAATAGAGGAATCAATGCCTGCCTGCCTCACCAAGTCGCCTTACCTTGCCCTCTCCCTCCGCAGCTAGGCACCTAGTTGGCTGTTGGTGGAATCTAGGACCTTCACTGGGTGATGACACTTGACCCTCGTTCACTGTGAACAGTCCCTTCAGTCTAAAGCCCTGCTGTTCATTATTATTCTGGTGAACAGGAGCAGTTGGGACTGGCCCAAGGGAAGCCCATAATCCAAACTCTGCTACCTGAGCTGAGCTTCAGTGGTCGTGGGTGGCCTCACTCCAGACCCTCAGCTTGGGGATAAGAAGCTTCATCGATGTTATTTCTAGAAATGTGAGTCCGAATCCTGACTCCAGGGTGTGCTATTAGGAAGGAAGAGGAGGAAGCCGGTAGAGGAAGAGGGAAGAAGAGATGGAGAGGAAGATGAGGAAGATAGGGGAGGAAAAAAGGAGTGAGGAGGAAGAAGAAAAGGGTGAAAGAGAAGGAGGAGGAAGAAGAAGGAGAACAAGGTGGTGGAGGAGTTCCCACACGCATCAGTTAAAGATGGTTCTCCCGGGGATCCCCAGTTTATTTGGCTAATTTGGAAGTGCCCCTAAAAAGAACCACTGATATCTAATCTGTCCGACTACTGCAATTTCACCCACTTGACATTTACCTATCTCTGTGAATGTGTGTTCACAGCCAACATGCAAAGCTAAATTTGTGGAATCTGATGAATATACTCAAAAACCCTCTTGCTGGTTAAGGAATTCTAAATTTATACCCAGCAGAAAGGTGATCCACAGACCTGTGGCGGCGCTGGGTCTGGAACCCAGAGGTTCCAACTCCCAGTTCCTATTCCTTCCACTAGAACACAAATATCCAGAGAATTCAAATCCAAACACACTTTGGACTGAACTTAGTTGAATTATTCAGGTAATTGTCTCAATCCACTTTTTAAGACAATGGCCAACAAATGTTCAAAACTGCCCCTCACCCAGAATAGTCCTTTTCTAGAGGCAGCCACATGTAGTGTATTACTGTTTTATCTCACTTCTTCAGAGCAGAGGATGGAGAGCCACATGTGAGCAGAATTCTGCTCAGAAATGAGGGTCTGCTATTTGAATGGTATGCCTCTGGGGACAAGCAATAGGTATTCCTTGCCAAACAATGCTCCTATTTCGTAGCCACACTAGGCCCTAACCAGCAAACTTAGCCTCCTTTCTACATTTAAAAAGAAAGCAATACTTCTTACAATCAAATGCACTTTCTTTTTTAGCTTAAAAAATGAACTCAATGTATCCACATGATTAATAACATTCTTAGGAATGAGGGAACTGAATTGGCATCCAACATCCAAGGGTTTTGCTCCTCGGTATTTAGTATTTCTTTTAATTCTTTTGACCACAACAGCTGAGCTTTGCTTCAGCTCTAGAAATTAGACTCTCATGGGTCTTCTAGTAAATATTTCTTGCTTTCCAACACCATAATATTTCTCTTAAGTAACAGACTTTATAGTTCTCTAATGAGACCATTAAACTTTTGTTATGCTTTAACAACATAGTTTGCTAATTCTTAATGTTGTCAACAAATGGCCTTAATAAGTATCTTCCAAAAAGACCAGGATCAGAAACACAACTCTCTCTGGATTTGAGTACCTCTTTCAAATTGGCAGGGTGGGGCTTTATGAGATGCTGGTGATTGTGGGCCTCTGCCCTGTGTCTTTTCAGCATTATTGATGGATGGGTGATTAGAAGCAAATGTGGTTCCTGTCGTGTGCCAACTCATACAGAGACTGGGAAGAGAACTGGATCAACCTTTGTTTCTGGTGAACTACAGCCAAACATAAACACTCACAGAAGACATCATTTCCCAAACCATTCCTGGAGCTCTTTGCTGCTCTTTTCAGGAACTGTTCGATGTTGATGACTTGCTGTACCTGAACCTTTATCCATTTTTTTCCTTTATCATATCTGCTTGAAATTTGAAATAATGCATGGATCCAATATCTTTGACATATATTTACTGTTTCTGATTGCCAATTTCTTTTGGTGCAGGGAGCTTCAAGTTTGCTAGGCAAGCACTTGAACCACTTGCCTGGCCTTTTTTGCCTTAGTTATTTTTCAAATAAGGTCTTGTGTTTTTCCCAAGGTTGTCCTTGGACAGAAATCCTCCTACTGATGCCTCCTGCATATTTTGCAGCCTATGGCTGGCTCTCCCCATTGTAGTTAAAAGTCTGATGGTACTCAAATCACGAAGTGTCCCATTCATTGGTAGTTTATGCTTGTAATCCCAGTTACACCAGAGGCTGAGTTCTGAAGCTGAGTTTTGAGGATTGCAATTCAAAGCCAGCCTGAGCAGAAATATCTATGAGACTCTTATCTCCAATTAGTAAACAGAAGTGGAGTTGTGGCTCAAGTAGTAGAAAACCAACTTTAATCAAGAAAGCCAAGCAAGACTATGAAGCCCTGAGTTCAAACTCTAGTATTGGTACACACACACACACACACACACACACACATCACAAAATGGTCCACTGAAGAAACAACTCAGAATGAAAATGCTAAGGAAATCTTCATTGGGATTCCAGCTGTGCCTCACACAGCTGTCCATGGATGTGTGTGATGGGTCTCAACAGGATATGGGTTGTATCAGACCATACCATGGAAACTCTCAAGTAATGTCAAGGAGATATGCTACTGGATAATTTTTCCCCTGCACTCAATCAACTTAGGATAAAATGTGTAATTCAGAAAAAAAGTTTTGTTACATCATTTTTTCAGCTTAGTTTAATTTCTTACGGATATTGCAAAACATGCTGGGAACAATTAGTATATAATAGACATATTAAGTTGTCATTCTGATGCATCACAACATACATTTATAGTAAATTTATTCTCAAAAACTTAAATTCCTCACTAGAATCCTACCTTTCAGATTAGGTTTAACACATTAACATGCTTATTTCAGAGACGGGGGCAGAGGCTGAAAAGCTATTTTTAGATTTCATAATGAATATAAAGCACTTAGGTAGAAAGCCCACAGACTGGGAGAATATCTTCACTAGCCATACAATAGACAAGGGTCTCATATCTAAAATATACCTGGAACTCGAAAAATTAAATCCCCCAACAACAAATCCTCAAAGAAACAACTGCCCAATAAATAAGTGGACTAAAGACTTAAAGAAAAACTTCTCTGAAGAGGAAATAAGAATGGCCAATAGACACATGAAGAAATGCTCAACTTCTCTAGCCATAAAAGAAATGCAAATCAAAACAACATTGAGATACCACCTCACCCCAGTTAGTACGGCTATAATCAATAACTCTTGTTGTAACAACAGATGCTGGAGGGGATGTGGACAGAAAGGAACCCTACTGCATTGTTGGTGGGAGTGTAAACTTGTTCAACCACTTTGGAAAGTAGTATGGAGGTTCCTCAAAAGACTCTACACAGAGTTCCTCCATGACCCAGCAATCGTTTGGGCATTTACCCAAATGATCACAAACAAGGCCATACTAAAGCTACCAGCACAACTATGTTTATTGCAGCATTATTTACCATAGCTAAGATATGGAACCAACACAGATGCCCCTCAGTAGATGAATGGATCAAGAAAATGTGGTACATATACACAATGGAATTCTATGCCTCCATCAGAAAGATTGACATTGCCCCATTTGTTAGGAAATGGAAAGACTTGGAAAAAATTATATTAAGTGAAGTAAGCCAGGTCCAAAGAAACACAGATCCCATGGTTTCCTTTATTTGCAATAACTAGTATATGTCTAGGACAAGCAGAAAAGGTCAAAAGGTCACATGTACATATGACCATATAAGATGATGTTAAGCAAAATGAATCCCAAGATAGGGACCCCCAAGATAGGTTTTTTCTTTCTTGCGAGATAGGGTTTTTTCTTGCTATTGTTTTTAACATATTTATAATGTACTATGTGATTTTTTTTGTTTCTTTTGTATGTTCTTCTCCCACAGTATAAGCTCTGTTTTTGCTGTATTTGATTCTGGTGCCCTGCATCTTGTATACACATTTTTATAATTTGGGGAGGGGAAGGCAAATAACAAAATGCTGAAATAAAGATACAGGTTGACCCATTGTTACAACGAG